ATCTCAGATCAGTAGAATTCTTAAGAGATCATTCTATACAAGTTATTCACAGTCTGAATAATCAGTTATACATAAATAGACTGGCCGCCAGAATCATGAATTTCACGTTTGATTTCATTTGATCTGATCTCATACATTTCTTGATGTGAATCCCGCTGGGACTAATTATTAAATAAACATGCAAAGTGACTATATATTAAATCTCAAAATGAAACCATGACTTGAAAAAAATGAGAAAGTGATCTCATTTGATTTCATTTAGTCTCATTCTTGATATAAAGTTACTATTTTTAGACATTTTATGGTTTTTTTAGACTATTTTTAATTTTTTAAAAAGTAACACTTTTTGATAACACTCAAATGAGATTTAAAGTCATTTAAAGCAATAAAAATAATTTAAATTGAGAAGTGAAAATCATGATTTCATTTGAAAAATGTGACAAGAGTAGACAGTAAGTTTAACTGAGACAGTATGAGACTACTATCTAATGTTAGAACCATGTAATGAAATCTGTTAAATTGACAATGAGACTATCAAAAATTCTGGTTCTGATCTCAAACACGGTCACACGGTCAGTCTATACACAAATCATGCATCTCTTGCATTATTCAAGTACATAAGAGTTCAGAGTGAGAAACTCAGTGTTATTCATGAAATCATAGAGTGTTATTATCATCAATTGAACATTCTGAGATGTTAGTTCTTATATATAGTTTTGAGAAGAATCAGAGTGCTTCTTGATATACTGCTTCAGTGAGTGTTTAAAGAAGTTCATCAGTTTGAGCTGTTATATGTCATAATTCATCTAGTGTAGATTTGAGAGAAGTTGAGATATCAGTGTCAATGTCAGTATCAGTATCAGTTCAGAGATGAAGTGTTCTAATCAGAGAAGTGTGTATAATGTTATGAGTTATTTCATCTTAATCAACTAATATCTTCAGATCTAGAAGCTGATATTCTCAGTTCATTTAACAGATGTTTATAAAACACAGTAATGATATCTAGCTTTAAAAATCATTGAGCTTATCTAATCTATGCTAGAATTTCATTGATAAGAGATAAGAAATATTAATCTTTCTTTATCAATCTGTTCAGATCTCAGTAGTTCACACAGAATCAGAGTTTTTCATCTGACTTCTTTATAAAGAGAATAGAAGCTGCAGTAGAAGAGTTACTAATATATATAAATTTCTCATTTAATAGATTATTAAGTGTCTTCTGAAGAAGAAGAAGTTCATCTTGAGATATATTATAAAGAGAGTCTTATAATAACTCAGAGTTCTTATCATTCTTCTTTTCTAACTTAATACTGTGATTCACTTCTGAGTCTTATAAAGAAGATATATTTATAATGTTATCTTATCAGAAGATATCTAGATATTCATAATATTATTAAGAGAGTTTTGTGTGAGAATTTGTTACTATAGTACAGAATAACTTTTCTAGAGCTTTCTTGATATTAGTCAGACTAATGAAATAGATTGATATATAATTCTGCTGTTAATGACTTTATCAGTAACTCTGTCAGCAGTTTTAATAACTTCTTTTTCAGAGTATTTTATAAGTGTTGATAGAGATCTGTGTCAGATTCATAGTCTTATAAATATCATCTTCATGAATTCTATTATTATTAGAGAATATTAAACTTCTGTTTCAAGTGTTCAATAAGATATCTTGTTCAGATAGCTAGATAAGTTCTAATATTAAATTATAATCAAGATTATTAACTTTATATATGTAGATGTCTTTACACTGATGTTCTTCAACATCTATGTTTAGTTTTATTATATAATGAGTGTAAATATCTTTTGAATCATTGAATTCTGTGAGAAGTTGAGATTTTAATAAGAGAATACACTGAAGATTATAATATCTTACAACTGAAGATTTTATCATTGTATAGTAGTATAGATCACTATCTATCATGACTTTTATATTATACATATTATCAATCATAGTAGATACAAGAATTACATTTATTATTATTTTCTCTTTAAATCATTATTATCTGATCTCTTCAAGCTTCTGTTTGTAAATTTGAACAGAAGCTAATTTTTTTTCTGTTTTATTAGAGTATTTTTATAGTTATCTTCTAAATCTTTCTTCACTGCAATGTGATTGACACAGACAAATACTAATTTATTCTTTGAATAAGAAGACACTGATCTTTCTCTCAAGTGTGAAGATATATAGATTAATCAGCAGTTAAAAGTGATATGTTCTAATCAGTTACAGTTAATATATACTTTATATTAATATTGATCAGTGACTTCTTCAGAAGTGATCTCAGAAACTTAGAAGTCTATTTAAACAGCAGAAACTCTTGCTTATATATAGATATTTAAATCTATTCAGTTTATAATATCTGTATCATTGCTGTTCTTCAGTATGAGTATATAAGTAACTGAAGTGTAATATCTTCTATAACTATTCTATATACTCTTGAGCTTGATAAGATAATTATTCAATATCTGAAGCTATATACAGAAATCTCTATAAGTCTGATCTTTATTAACACTTATAAGAGTCTGTAAGAGTTTGAAAGTTAATATCTTTTTAAGTATATTAATCTTTATTTGATTCTCTCAAAATTGATTATCTACTTCTAGAATCTTGATATTGAAGTTAGAAATAAATGTTATAAGAGAAGTATTTCTCTGTTAAATACTCTGTAATTAATCTAATACTTTCTGTTACATAGCAGTGTCTTAGAACAGAATATCAAGATATTTAATAATATTATTAAATATTTACAACACTGATTCACATACTTTTATTCATGAATAAAACTTCTATTTCATATAATTCTTCAATTATTCATTGATATATTAATTTTAATTAATTAATGAATTAATGATATCTTCATCTATATTTAATTTTGTAAGTATTTTCATTCTTTATAATAAGTAGAGAGTAAGATCAGAAGTATTAAAATATACAGAAGTATCTAAGTATTTCTTCAGCACTTTTATATTCAATTCTATAAATATTGAAATTGCATGAATTAATTATTAAATCTCTTTATATTGAAGTTGTTAAGTTGCATGTATATCTGCTATCTATTACTGTTATAATTTCAATATTACTCAGAGTCACTGTGACATCATATTTATACTCACATTTAAGAGTTTCATATTATTATTAGACATGATTATATCAATTATTGAATGTATAATTGTATAAATATCTTATATATCTGAGTGTCAGAACTCTCAGATCTTTCACTGACATTCTCTTTGTAAGATCTTATTACAGAGTCAGAATGACTGATGAGCAAGCTTCTATCTGAGAACTCAGTGTTCACTTAACTGTTTAACTGTTTCTCTATTTCTTACATGTTGTTATGTGTTTGAATATCTTGATAAGTAATCATTTCTAATAAGAAGACAATGAACATTTTTCTAGTATAAGAAGCCTACACTGAATAGATTGATATTATATTGATAGATCTTATATAACAAAGAGAAAAACATTAGAGAAGGAAAGAAAGAGAAAGTGTGGGAATCAGCAATCAGAGTGGATATTTATACACATATATGGTGATGTACGCGGTGGGGCTTCAGGGCGGAAGAATCTATACGCGTTTGTAGCGGCCGAGGATCGGTGATTGAGAATGGCCGAGAATCGGAGCGTACGCGTTCGAGAATGGAGCGGTTGGAATCTGTGGAGTGTAACGGAATAGTCTATATGATTGATCGGGCGCAGCCCGCCACAAATACACTTCAATCTTTCAGATTCTGTAACCTGGAAATGACTCTGCTGAGTCAGTATATAATTAGAGAATAGAAATTCATGCTAAGAAGATTGAGAGCTTGATAATAACAATAATAATAATGATGATGATTGTGAATGTGAATATGAATCAGAAAAGATAATATAAATAGAGAAAGATTTAAATGAAGTTAGTGATTAATCTGTCTTACTACTGACTTATATTTCAGTATCTTTCATTCTCACAATAATAATAATAATAATAATATAAGATATGAGACTAACTTTTTAAAAAAAGATTAAGATTATTGAGATTGATGAGATTTATATCTATCTCACAGCAGATGATGAAGCATCAATTGTTATAACTAACTGAATAAGAAAGGCTGTACAGCACTAATTACATGTGCATACTATGTATGAATTCATATGGAAACATTGCATGTACAGATCCACCTGTGTGATAGTGATGTTAATTTAAAAACACCACTGAACGTTAATTTACATGACATTAAACTATATAAGAAAGGCCATTACTGCGAAAGGTGCTTGCAGGATCCCTCTAATATATATATAGCTAGCTCTTCCTACACGAATACAACGGATTAACCATCCCACAATATAATGATGGAATATGTGTTACAATCGGCGACACGTGACACGGGTGGAATGGTGGATCCACGGTGTAATCACCGTAAATTAACCCTACGTTCTTCCCGTATGGTTCCCACCGAATACAACAGATTAACCATCCCACATATTAAGCTCTTTGTAGATAGCTCTATCAAGACAACCTTCAACCATCCTACAAAAACCGACCCCGCGCCAAAACCGCCCTGTTATCTGATAACTATATCAAGACCGCAAATCGCAACCTCGAGAGTTTTTGAGATTGTATCCTCTTAATTTACTCCCATATACATACGCTCACACACGCATACAGAGAAAAAGAGAGGGAGAAAGAGCTTTTTTTCCCACGTGTCAGTTCTCACCATACGTGGGGGTATCTCTCTTAATTCTCAGTCGGCCATAATACGCGACGATAACAGCAGATGCTTAAGAACCAGGAACTGTAACTGGGACCGGAATCTAAGGTATCTGATTGAATATTCGACTGCGAACTGGATATTTGGAGGTAGAGGGGAGAAGGCGAGGCAGGAGGAGGTCTGTATATTTGCTCACTGATCCAAGAAATGTGCAACAACACCCTTTAATTGTGAGAAAGCCGTCCGTTTGTATACGCTATTCTATCCCAATATATATATAGTAACTTCAGCTATTTCCCTCCATTAACCAGTTTTACTTACTCACATAGCCAACCATCCCCCGCAGACGAAACGCGCAAGAAAAAAATTAAAAAAAAGCCCCAACGAACAACAAACAATGAGCCCCCAAACCTTCCAAATCCACTACTTCTCCATCGCCTCCGCCTACACAAAGAAACATACAGAATCCCTCCCCGCGCCGCTCCCGCTGTTCAAACTCTTTGATCTGCTCGAGTCGCGGTATCCGGGTATTAAAGAGAAGGTCCTTGTTAGCTGTGCGGTTAGTGTGGGGTTGGAGTATGTTGATGTTCATGCTGATGGTAATGGTGATGGCGATGGCGCTGTGACGAAGGCGGATGGGGGAGAAGAAGGTGGTGCTGGTGGTGGGGAGCAGCAGGAGAAGAAGGTTCGGATCATTGGACCTGGGGAAGAGGTTGCGATTATTCCACCGGTTAGTTCTGGATAGGTGGGACGCATCTTGGATTGGATTTTGGATTTTGGAGGTATGTAGATGTGGATGTGGAATTGGGGTCAGCGCTAGCTTTCATATATACGAACTGGATAATGTATTTATTGCTCTTGGAAGGCTTCGGAAGTTTTTTTTTTTTCAGTTCGATATCCGGGATACAGAGAATGTGTATAAAGGATGATACTGGAAATCAAAAGCCCTCATAAATTCGGATTATCATGATCTGCGATCATCACGACTAACTAGCCCATTCCAGCACGAAGATGGAGCGGAGGAAGCCCCCGGTAAAAGGGAGCAAAGGTGCGTAAACTATTAAATTACGCGGAAGGAAGGGACAAATTTTGGAAAAGAAAACAAAATGGTCCCGAAAATTTTGTCAATTTCAAAATCACGCATCCATCATAGTCCCCAATTTCCTAATACCAAGTCTTTTCCTCGCGACCCCCCCTTCCTCCCCCCTTCCCACACAAACTCATTACGTGAGTGATTCTCAAGATTTAAGACGGAGGAGTTAGCTGGAAGACCTTGTCGGCATCAGCAACCGCGGGCTGCCACTTGATGTTGTTCTTCGCGTAGATCTCTGCACCCACTGGCCAATCCTTGTAACCCTCCAGTCCGGCAGTGCGGATGACGTATTTGGGCCCTGCGACAGTCTGGTGGTGGTAGATGTGGGTTGTGCAGTTGGGGCAGAAGTAGCAGTGGACAGGGTTTCCTGTTTTTTTTGTTATCAGCTCACAGAAGGTTTAATTCTCTAACTATATACTTTTTGGGGGCATGGTGCGGGACAAGCTAGGGCTGACGGCGGAATTGGTGGCAAAAGACGCAGTTTGGAAGAGGCATACCGGAATCACCGGTGTAGGTATATGAGCCTAGAGTGCCCTTGGTGAGTTCGAAATCCTCCTTGGGAACGATCTGATTGAGAGTATAGTCGCTGCCGTTGATGACTTTGCAAGCGTCGCAGTGGCTGCATTTGTAGAAAGCGCTTAGCCCACATCCACGGTATTTTGGGAGGGGATTACCTAAAACCTCGGAGTATCTAGATTTATAGAACTATTGAGAGGATGGATATATTACCAAAGAATATGGCTGGGAGTCTCCATCTTAACAGTGAACTCGGTCTGGCCACAGTGGCAGCGTCCCTTAAAAGTCGACATTTTGGCAGTGGTTTTGTTTGTTGACTTTGCTATGATACAAGTGAAAATAGATCGGGCTTTGATGTAAGCTGGGGCTGGAAGAGCTGCGAAATCGAAAGGATGTCAAAGGGCCGTGTGTGTTAAGATGGAAAGAGAATTGCAAAAAGGGGTAGGATGGCGCTGGGTTTTTATATTTGTTCAGCCCTTCCTTGCCTGCTGCCCCTCACCACCGAAACCCTCCCTCGATCACATTAACTTTCCCACCTTTTCTAACCCAGCAACCACGACGATAACCCTAATTGGCTAAGGTTTCTATGATGCGTGGGTGGGATCGAGTGTAAAAATAGCCAGCCATTATGATCATATATTTTTTCCTTAGTTTCGGCAATTGACGTCAGATCATTGGCAAGATAGCGGGGGAGCTGGCAGAGAATTTGTCAACCTGCTGCAGCTCTATATGATCCAGTCAGGGGGTGCGTGGTTAAAGACTAGACTCAGCTATACACTTGCAATCGTCTGCGATCCGCGGGCAACGAGTATTGGAGATTAAACATGATGCGGGAAGTGCCTGGACATGCCAGACCACATCCATCTGGCCAATGCCACAAATTCGATGTTAACCGTGCATCAGAGGCGCTCTCCGCTCTCCAATCTCCCGTCTGGAATGAAGCCAAGAATACCCGACCGATGCCAGAAATATCTCAATGTGGGGTTGTGCTGCGCTAAGGGTGCTTGGGACTTTCTGCTGGAGCCATCGAAAGGTGATTCCAAATCCAACCCTGGAAGCAACCGTGTTGGGGCAGCCGCTAGCGTTAGTAGACAATGAAAAAAAAAAAAAAAAAAAAAAAAAAAAAAAAAAAGTTCCGGTTAACACGGGCGGAGGAGGGCCTGGCGTTCAACCCTAGTGAACGTGGGAGGGATATATCGTGAACTGAAATCTTAGAAAAGGCTATTGCCTATTGCCCACCAAATGTCAGCTGCGAGAATGGCTGATAACTTAGATCAAAGGATGTCCGAACCCGTTGAGATGCAGTTTGCAAGGTTGAACTTCATGAAAACTAACAATCCAAAACTGGTATATCAATCATGCTCGGCTTTGCTATTCCTTCTCCCAAAATACCCTCACGGGCGATACCCGCGTTTTATGACCAGCAAAGTCTGATAGCATTGAGCTCCCAGTCGCAAATTGCATGAAGCCTGGAGCGTACTATTATGACAGCGGGGGTTCTAGACAGAAGAGTCCATTCCATTTGTCACATTCGCAGTAATTTCCTCATGTCCTTGTCTTTGGTATTGTTCTTGGGCGGTGCTGTACTCAGCATCACGGATTCCAGGAAATCTGGACGTTTGAAATATCCAAGTCCTTGCAGGGTAGTTGCATATGGACTGGTTACTGGAGAAACTAAACTGACTACTGGATGTCAGGTTTGGAAATATATAGCAGTGGCATGAGGTCCGCAATCATGATGAATTGAGAATGTGAGAAAATGACAGAGCCTCGAAGGTGTGGAGAGCTCTATATATATATATATATATAACTGATGTGGGGAACCGCAAGGTCCTCATTCAAGACGTGTTTAGCTCCGATCCACAACACGACAACGCACCTTCAGCCTTCAATCTTCAACCTCCAACCTCCATCTAACCTCCTCCCCGGTCGAAACCCCAACTCCTCGCTGAGACCGATAAATTCTACCCATCTCTCTAGATAAATGGAAGCAGTCCTACATCTCTAAACTCTACGCTGTGGTGTTGTTTCTCTGTTTTATTTCCCAATCTTCCCCATCTCACCGCCAATTGGCGTTTAATCCTGTCACATAGCAATCCGTAAGCCCTTCCCCTTGGTATTTGCAACCCAACTTGAAGGTCCAGAGATCCTTTGAAGCCTTGGCCAGTTCATGGATCAATTCGTTTTATACTCACGCGCACCCACCCCGTCGCTTTGATAACGACTTGAACCCAGCAGGCGTCAAGCAAACAAAGGGAAGCTATGCCGGCTCTACTATGGAATCCTAATGTTGTTAGACAATATGATCTACCCGAACCTATAATTCTACCTTGTGCAATGAGAATTTATTTTTCCTGCGAACCCGATATCGATTGTTGACTCGCCTGTATACATTGCTCAACTAGCGACGAAAATGAATAACCTCTTCAGTGGCCAGGGAATAGGACGCTTAGAGACCGCGAGCCAAGCATCCTGTAGCGAGGCTCAAGTTTCGAGTCCCACACTGGCAATAGGAGCCACCCAACTTTGGAGATTTTGCAGCACGCTCACAATGGTAGCGAGGGAAGATCTCTGACTGACAACATTGAGCAAACATCTGCGTCTAGAACGACAAACACCACTGTATAGGGGCACAGGTTTCTCAACTCATTTTATAGGGCCGTCTAATCTGGTAGTACGGAGTACATGTAACTGCACATGAAATTCTGGCGAATGTGTTGCGAACGAGGCATCAATACGCAATACAACATCAACGGGCTTGAGCATGTTGTATGAGTTTGCCCGCTAACCTTCCGTAACCGTGTCTTCTAAACTTCAACGACCTAGGAACCTTGGAAGTTGACACTGATTACACGCTGGTTCCTTGAGCAATGTGGTTGGCGCAATAATAAAGCAGCTATCCCTCCGTAGCCGCTCGACCAATCAAATTCGCGAATCTTGTGGGATGCTATTATTCAAGGCAAAATCTACGAGACAATAAGGAACATAATCTATATTATTGTCTTATGGCGAATTTGGTTGGACTACCGGGCGACTTATTGCACGAAGCGAAATTGAGCTCTTTCATTCAATTTACATTTTTCCGAGCCCAACAGCGAAAACAGGGGAAGGCACCTTTACGGGAGAAATGGCATACGTCGCTCAATAATAGGATCTGGACAAGGAACAATAGGATCCAGTTGACTCAAAATTGGAAAAGAGCTCGGAGAGATAGTTGAAAACTGACATCGAAGCACTTAACAATCTAGAATTTGCGGATGATGGCTTGCCCCAGAGTATGGCTGTGTGGCTTTCACTATGGCTTCGGATAGCGAGCGTATCACTGCATCAGGATTCCACGTACTTGGGTGAAAATCCCCTTCAGCTGCAGTTCCCAATGTGTGTCTCCCGGTTGTTGGGACATATGATACTGCGGGTTATATGCATCTCTGTTCCCGGGAATATTCAAAGGGGCTTGTGCGCTGCAGACCCTGAGTCTTCCGCATTGTTCACTGCTTAGACTGCGGTTGAACTATGTTTCACTATGTCCCAAAGCCCAAGCCCCCGGGAGAAGGAAGATATTGTCTCTACATGTATGTATGTACATGTACACACATACATGGTACACCCGCTTTACCCCACAGCCCCAGGTGCGGGAAGGAAAACGTACTTTTAGGTCTCCCTCGGGATTATTATTGCGGAGGACCTTGGGCGTTTCGCGGCTTGGCTAGACGTATATGATTACCTCGGCGGTGGGGCCATTGAAATTCTCTGGTGATGAAAACATCTCCACTTTGTTCCTTGAACTAGAAAGGCTGGAGTAGGAGGAGAAGGGAAAAAAAAAAAGAAAAGAAAAAAACTAGAAAAACAGAACGTGTAGAACAGGAAAAAGGGCGGGATTATAACTGAAATATGAGTGAGGCTGTTCATACTCAGACCTTTAGCTCTTGACGTGTGAGAGAATGAGGATGCACTGTGGCCTGGCTATCTCGGGCAAGATGCATCTTCGCACAGAGCCTAGGATATCGGATATCCTTCCGGACCCTAAAACAAACGACGACCCTAACTAACTCCAGGCGCCTCGCTCTCCCAAGTTTTTGGCTCTGCGGTCCAAGTCTCGCAGATTCTTGAGGCGAACGGCGGAACAAAATTTTGGATCCGGGCCACGTGACTGAGCCGATGAATGGAGCCGCGACGTCACGGCGCGAAGAGAACAATAGTTGAAGGCACAGATTGTTCAGTAACTGAATTTTGGAACAATCGACATCCCAACACCAGGAAGTTGGGAATCGATACCGACGGAACGGGTGGATTCACACCCCACATTTTTACTCTTGATGGCTTACCAAGAATTCATTTATATATCTCCTTGATGCTCACAGAAAGCTCGAAAACATCCTTCAAAATGCATTTCCCCTGATTCCATGTGAGACTGTGTTGCTCCATTTCATATTATATTCACATTATTAACATACATTTTCTTTTGTCCTTATTTTTTATTTATTTATTTTTATTTATATTTTTTTCCTCCTCGAACTGCATACAATGCAGAAAGCGACAACAGGAACGACGCAGAGAACAACGACTCAGGCTTCCTCGCCTGTCCCGCTCGCATGTCGTGCTTGTCGGAAGAAACATCTCAAGTGCGACGGCCTACATCCGGTCTGCAGCCGATGCCGGAAAACGCGCACCTTATGCGAATACACCCCGTCTCGCCGTGGCTACAGGTCGACACCTAAGCCAACTATAGCCGCAAGGACTAGTATAAGTTCTCCATCTGGCTCATCTGTACCGTCTGACAATCAGTCCAAGTCGCCAAACAACTTCGATTTCAACAATGTGATGCAGACGCCAGAATGGGCAGCTCAAGATCCTTCGATCATGAACGCTAGCTCCTCCACAGAGTCCTTGGATACATCGCCTCTAGCATTGCTAGATCAAGGGATTCTACGTCGTAACAACCTCATCTCAAAAGTTGGTGACCCGATGTATACCGATGACAGTGATGCGCGACTGGTTGACTTTTACTACGCCTTTTTCCACGAATCTCATCCAATAATGCCCCCTACCCACTTGCTGCATTTCATTTCCCCGTTTCCAGCATGTTTGAAGACAGTTATGAAATTCGTTGGCGCTCATTTTGCTTTCGGAGTGTCTACCGATGCCTACAAAATTTCCACAGCCAAAGCGATTGAGAATGATCGGGAACCGTCCTATCAGAAAGTCCAAGCTCTCCTTCTCTTTGCAACGATTCTCCACGCGCGAAACGATCGCGAAGAGGCCATCTCTTACTTCTCCATTGCGGTTAACTTAGCCGTTGAACTGGGCATGCACCGGAAATCCATGGTTGAAGTTCTCGCAGGCGGTAACTTTGTTCGTGAAGAGAGCATAAGGCGAACTTGGTGGGAAATCTACATGACTGATGTCATGTTTGGGGCATTTGATCACTGTCCCTTGAAGATTGGAAACTTGACCATGGACGTACATCTTCCCAGCGAGGAGGCTAGTTACTGCACCGGCATCAGCCTCGTTGAGCCACCGTCAACCACCCAATTCTATAACCGTGTATTTGCCGATCACTCACCTAAATACTCGTCTTTCTGCTATGCAGTCGAAGCAACTCACCTGTTGAAGCGGGGAATAGCCCTCGGTGTCACACTTGACGACGAAGACGTACGTGACCAAGTTGAAGCTCTCGAAGCAAATATCGGTAGCTGGTTCCGCCATGCACCAGAGGACAGGCCCAACGCTCTATGCATTGACGGAACCGTCGACCAGGTATTGTTCCGCGCCTACATGCTGGTCCACTGTGCCTCAATATATCTCCACCTGCCACGATCGTGTCTAATGGCCTCCCCTACTGCTAATGCCACCATTGCCTGTGCGCGCAGGGGAACCTACCTGCCGCCCACTTCCCACACACTCACGCACGCCTCCAAAGCGCTCGAGGCTGGGAACGGGATCGTTGCCCTGGGCTCCATCCGCACCCCTCTCCTCAAGCACACTCCCTTTTTTATCTGCGGCCTTGTCCTTGGCGCAGTCGTTGAACTCTGCGCCTGCTCCGTCAATGTCGGGCACTCGATCGAGCCCCGCAGGGACCGCATAGCGTTGATCGTTGGAGAACTGAAAGCACTGGACCGCACATGGGCGCTGGCGCATCAGGTTATGTGGCATATCAAAATGTTGGCACGAGAGGTGTTGGAGATTGGTCTCTTGCCACCTACTCAAGCGACTTTGGAAGATCCGGGCCCAGACGTTAATGTGTTGCTGTATAGTGATATGTGGTTGGGAGATATTACCATGAACCCGAATATGTAGCCTGAGATGTATTTCTTTCTTTCTTTCTTTCTTGCTTTTTTCATTTCTTTTCTTTTTTTTCCCTCTTCTTTCCTTTTCTTTCCCCCCCCCCCTTCTCTCTTTTATTTTTTTTCCAAATTTAACACGAAACAGAAAAAAAGCACACAAATCCCCTTGGATCCTCAATTCCCGTTTTCTTTTTTTTTTTTTTTTTTCAGTGTATTTCGGTTATTATAAATATGAACCTTCTTCTGAATACATAGTGGACGGTAGTGGTGTTTGATAGAGAGTGGCTTCATTGATTGGGACGGAAGGGGATATCACGGCAAATTACATCCGGCGTACACTGATAGCAGGAGAGAGTCGCTTTCGGGCTGCATTGAGCCTTTGTTTTATTTATATTTTGTCTAACTAATCAGTTACACTCTGCGTTCAATTAAGCATACAACTCATCGCAGTCACAACCCACAAAATGCACCTGCACTTCTGCATGCCCTGCATAATCCCATGTTGGCGGGAACATGGCAAATCAGAAGTATGTACGGAGTACTTTGTGCTCCTAAAAAAAATCCCAGAAACTCCCACCAACCAATCTACACCCAGGATTATGGGATGAGCTACAGATTACAGGCGTGCAGGTATTATTTAAATTAACATTTATTTATCCACTGTTCAACCAACAAGTTTTTCCACAGGAAATTTTTCATCGAAAAACGTTAACTATCAATGTAACTACTGCTGCTGCTCTTATTTTCAAAAGCCCGAGACACACACAAGAGAACAAAAAAAAAAAAAAAAAAAAACACAAAAGCTTAGTTATTACTTTAATTATAATTTCTAAACCAACGCCTCCCGACGTTCCAGCCCACAGCCAGTTGACTAACCAGCATCGGCCTCTGACGTCATACCTTGCCGGCGCCAATTACACGCCACTGACGCCAGTCGCCAGCGTACTTGCATTTCCGTCAGCAATCTGTGCTAATTCAAAATTCTTGAGCTGGATTATTATTATTATTATTATTATAATTCCATCTAAAATAGCGGCAAATTATTTTATTTTATTTTTTATATTTTGTTTTTGTATATGTTTGTATTTGCCTAAAACTTGGAAGAGCGCCTGAAAAAGTTAAATACAAGGGCTCCACACTGGAGCCCGATCAATTTTGGTGGGGCCGAGGTGAATCTTTTGATGTTTTATATTGATTATTATTGTTGCCGCCCGATATGTGGAATGGGAGAGAGTATGTATGTGTGTGTGTTTGTGTGTGTGTCTTTGTCTGTGCCATGGACCATGGCCAGTGCAGGTGATGGGAATTAAGAGCCACGTTGAGTAGTTATTATTTGAATGTTTGTCGGGTTGAGCGACTTGCGGAGACTGATACAAAGGTTTTAGATCGTATGGGAAAAAGTGTACATTGTGTACGCTGTAAGAGGAGGGAAGGAAAGAAGAAGAGGGGGGGAGGACTGGGAATGGGATTGGATTGGGGGGGACATTTTGGTTTCAGATTAATAATGAATGGTAGGGATATTGGTATTTGAAGTCTAATAACTGTACTGCGTATATATGGGCGTTAATAAGATGCTGAGGACTCATTGTATTTTAAAGTTAAAAGGAACTAACTAAGGAACTAGCAGGGGTCATTTATAACCTTTATGCTTAATCTTTTATGCTTTTATTAATGCTTTGCAGGACGGGAACCAAAATAAAGAACAAACACGTTGAACAGTTCATTTAAGACGGGTACTTTTTCTCTCTGCACAACGTTGCCTAACTCTGTTGTTCTGCTGCCGCTCGATTATATGATATGTTGTGTAGCAGGGATGCACGAAGGGAGCAGATGTAACCATAGCTAGCTTTAGAAGAGTATTATATGCTGAAAAGTGCATGGGGGTATAGATGGGATGTTTGTTAACTTTTGTTGACCAATCTAAGAAGCGGGGAAGATGTATATTTATATTACAATTATTCTATTAGTATCCCGATGTATGACTATTTTAAAACCTATTCAGAGGTTTTCAAAACACAAGCGCAAAACAAGAGGACCAAAGCAAAAATAGCTAATAATCACGCTACAATATATACATGCAAAACATCAATAGCTTTCAAGATGCTATCGTGTATAGCAGGTGTTGAAGCAAACCGATTGAACAAATCCAGGCTTTGACGTCTGCTCCTAACGCTCGCTACCTCTTTCTCAGGTACAAAACGCCCCATCCAAAGAATCTGTAGACCGCGGTGATAGCCAGTAGAATGCCCACCCACTTCCCAGTCCTCCCCGTCGCATACCCATAAGCACTCAGCACCCCTGTCCCAGCGATCTTACACTCAGACGCCAGCTCGCTGGCATACATACACTGGCAATTGGCCCCACAATCAAAAGTCCTGTCGGCAAACTCGTTAACCATCAGGCCCTGGAAGACGTAGGCCTGGTAGTCGATGTAGTGAAAGACGTAGCGCCAGAAGACGTTGAGGACGGTAGGAGAGACCATGAAGCCGCCAACGCACATCCAGACGCCGTTGGCGAAGGCAGTTAGGGCGAGGGAGATGACGAAGTTGGGGAAGAGGGAGGAGATGAGGACGACGAGGGATTCGGCGGCGAGGAGGTCGAGGAAGAGCCACATGACGAAGGTGAAGAAGCCTGTTGCGGTGTTGTGGTAGTTTACGAGCCAGAAGGAGACGACGGCGAAGAGGATTGTTATGACGACTGTTTTTTGTTGTGTGGTTAGGGTTAGTGAGCTGGTTGGGAATTGGAATTGTCTTTTGTTTTTGTGCGAAGGATGTATCCAGGTTTACTTACATAGGAATGGAATGCCAATTATGAAATTGGAGATGACGAATGATAAGGGTCCGTATAATCCATTGGCCCTTTCTTTGATAAAAATCGCGCGGTCCTCGAGGAATGCAGGGACGTAAGCGACGGCCATGAAGGATATAAATGCAGATGAGAAGAACTATGACGGAGAGGGGGGTTCGTTAGTATCATGCAACCCGATCGGGAGATTCTATAGACGCGTGTGGGTATTCTACTTACCACTGCGTTGATAAACGGCTGGATATTTTCTTGGCCGGAACCCAGCCGGAGCCAGACCGTGCCGACCAGAATCGCCAACCCTGGACTGTGTTAGTACTTGAACCCGGCTGTTCTGCGAAAAAAGGGACATGTCAAGGGGAATAACGTACCGAGATACATGATGATTCGAACGCCATATGCGAATACATCGCGATAACTCTTAACAAAGGACCTATGGAGTAGAGTAAAGACGGTACCAACGGCGCTGGCACCTCTTACGGATGAGGCGCAAATCTCATGCTTCTCAGCTTGGCTTGCGACTTTTTCAACGTCCGCATCAAGCGCCGAGGCCTCGTCTGAATTTTCCCAATTAGTGAAAATCTTGGAGAGTTGCTCGTCCGCGAATTCCTGGTCGCTTGCGAAATCGGTGTTGACTAGGTCGAGGACGAATTCTGCGGGGTTCATCTGGAGCGGCATGCGATATCCAGTCCTGTCGAGGTAGGGTTTCATTTCGGAGCTGGGTCCAAAGTAACAGGTGCGGCCTGCGGATAGAATCATGAGCTTGTCAAAGGTCTCAAAGGTTGCAGTAGACGGTTGGTGAACGCTCGCGATCACGATGAGCTTAGCAGCAGTTGTTGTCAGTAACGTAAATGTCACAAGCGTCCAGGCCCTGGGGAATAAGCTCACTTTATTATTCTGCGCAAGTTTCTTTACAAAAGACATCACTTCAAAACTGGCTGTGGAGTCCAGGCCGCTAGTCGGTTCATCAAGGAATATTATTTTAGGGCATGTAATCAGCTGGCTAGCCACGCTCACACGGCGTTTCTGGCCGCCGCTGATGCCTTTGCGAATCGGGGTCCCAATCAAGGTCTTGGCCTGGTTTTGTATTCCGAATGAATTGAGGAGAGTGGAAATACGTTGCAAGCGTTGTTTTTTAGGGATGGAGCTGCAAGTTGGAGTTAGAATATGGTTCCAATTGAGGATGGAGGTGCAATAACCGGCTCACCTGGGAAGGGAGAGCTGAGCGGCAAAATATAGTGTCTCCTCCACTGTCAAGGCTCCCACCAGAACATCTTCCTGCTCGACGTAGGAACTGATGTTCCTAAATATCTCGAGGTCGATATTTTGTCCATTGACGAGAATGTCTCCCTCTATTTCAGCACCGGGGGCAGACTGACGATGGGCGAGTACGTTCAATAAGGTAGTTTTTCCACTACCCGAAGGGCCCATTAGGACCATGACCTCTCCTACGATTTGAGTTAGAGAGCATTATCCACGGAGTAACTAAATGAGCAGTGATATGAGAAATTTATGTTAGTAATACACACCTGGGTTGACATGGCCGTTCGAGTTTTCAAGGATAGCCTTTTGTTTCTTTGTTTCGCGGTCCTTAACTGTGACAGCCACGCCTTTCCAAGCAAAGGAATGGACTGTCTCGTTCATGAGAAACGCATGTTCACCACCGGTTGCCTCGACGTCTGGACCCATTGTCATTGAGCCAAGCGACATCCTCTATATTCGTATACAGCTAGCAAGCTAGAGGGGAGCAGGAAAGTCGAATTTAGAATGCAAGAATATATGGGACGGAAGAAGATGCCTCCCTTTTATTTATGGAAAAGAGGAGATTAATTGAATGACGCATTATGCACCACCCACAGCCGCTTAACAGGCGCCCTTTATATATAAGAACAAACACCAACAGACGAGGTTGAACCTCCCCGGCTCCCCGCGCGCCCCCTCCCCTTCCCTCACTGGGCCGCCACACGAGCGCAGAGCGGTGACCAGGGTGGGTCCGCCACCATCGACGAGCGAACGGGGAACGAACTGGAGAATACAGAGTAATAAAGCCCGAGACGTAGTTATGTTAAAGTTTTTTTTATTCTCTCTTCCAAACTCACTGAGTCGCCGACGACCACAAATTTTGGGGTTTCAATGAGGGCCCATTGAGGAGGCGACGTGGCCCGTGGCCAACCCAAAAGCCCCCCAAGCCGGACGAAACGTAGATCCTGGATGCTGAACTGGGTCTTCGCCGGCATTCGGGCATGGATATGCCCTGGCTAGGGTGGCTAGGGCGATGCACATGTTGGACACTGGAGGGATTCTCAGACTCCCACAGGATGAACAGCATCGTTCGCGGGTGAGAAAACGTGCAGTAGCCCGGTGTTAAGTTAACTTAGAATGGTCGGCGTTAGTTGCACCACCTCTCGCACAGTGTGCGGTGTCTGTAGCAAGGTCTGTTGTTGGCAGCCAGCTGGAAATGAGCCATCGTAGTAGCCGGGAAGCAGCCGGCCGAACACAGCAATCATAGTTAATCAATCATAGCAACGATGGATTGGAGTGCATTTGTGTGGAATGATGGAGGGATAAGAGCGACTCCAAGTTAACTACTAGGCTAGTCTCGTAACACAAGATCGACGGCCACCAGGTAACTAGGGACTAGGAACGAAGAACGGGATGTGTCGTTTTATTCAGACACAGATGAGGAAATGCGAGCGCCATCAGGATAAGATCAATCTGTCGAACAAACCGTGGGAGAGGTCGGAGATTTATACTCTCTGCATGCGAGCCTCCAAAAGCCTCAACGTGGGAAAACATGCAAACTGTGTCTATTATTGTTGAGGAACAATATCAAGAAGATCCTCCAGCTAGTTAGTGAGTTATTTAACTCGCGCCACGATTGAATTTACACTATTTTTTCCGTCTTTTTTCTTTTTTAGCCCCTAGCATCATCTAAATCAAAGGCACGTCCCAGTCAATCCAGTCAATCCAGTCAGTGCAGGATCTGCGGATGTGGCTTCATCTACTCGTTTGCAGAAGAGACCTCTACCACTACCACTACCATTAACCTATTAATATTCATTATTGTATTGCTTTATCTGAGCTAATCATCTCTGTCTGCGTGCTCCAGCTTTAACTGCCTGCCCAGGTCCATTGCTAGCGGCCAAGCGGTAGTTATGGCCCCAGCCTCCTGCCATCCCCAAACCTGCTTCGATTAACTCCATAACATACCACGCATGCGGCCCGCGTCTGTCCATCTCACTCCATTCGCCGTCATCTGCCCCTTGTCCGATTGGCAGTCAGTCCCTGGACTCTTCTGCGATTCTCCTGCGTCAAAGGACGTGGGGGAAACGAAACAAGTTAATTAAACAATTATGGCCAGGCCTCTCAGAGCGCTAGCCGCGTTCTGCCTCCTGCTTCTCACATACCTCTCCATTCACGCGCTCAGAAGATCATCGGATGCCAGGATATACATTCTGCCCTCTGCCCTCGAAACCCGTTCCCTCCAGGCCCGCCAGATCGAATTTTGGCATGCCCTTCTGCCGATCCTCCGCCAAAATGCGCCGGATTGCCCGCCCCCACATCGAGATCGCCAGGCGGATGCGGTCGGGTTCAACGCCGCCCAGCCGCCACCACGTCCTTCCCTGATCTCCATGCCGGAGGGAGATGTACTGAAGATGCAACAGGCGCATACACGGTTCCTTCAGCAGGTTATAGCGTCCCCCAATTTGAAGCCCGTGGTTATTCCGAAAAGTCGCGGAGTGGTATCTACAGCGGGGGGGAAGTATCTGCCCGTTTTCATATCCTCGTTGCGCATGTTACGCCGTACTGGTTCAAATCTCCCCGTCGAACTCTTCCTCAAAGACCGTGCCGAATATGAGAGCAGCATTTGCGACGACGTCATCCCCTCCCTGAACGGCCGCTGCGTTGTCCTTTCCGATATTCTAAGCGCTTCTCCAGTACGCACAGGCGACGATGGCGACTCGGCTAATGACACTGGCGACCAAAAACCTCTGGTCGAGATAGCCCACTACCAGCTCAAAATCTTCGCTATGCTCTTCTCCTCCTTCGAAGAAATCGTCTGGTTAGACGCAGACTGTTTTCCTTTACGCAAACCGGAAGAACACCTCGACTTAAACCCTTTCAAACTGACCGGAATGGTCACCTGGCCCGATTTCTGGATCTCCACCGTGTCCCCCCTATACTACAACATATCACAACAACCAATCCCTTCCGTGGGGCTACGTGCCTCGTCAGAAACGGGCCAAATCCTCCTATCCAAGAAGACACACCCAATAACCCTCCTTCTCGCTGCCTACTACAACTATTACGGACCCTCCCATTACTTCCCGCTCCTCTCACAAGGTGCGCCAGGTGAAGGTGACAAGGAGACATTCCTCCAGGCCGCCTCCGCAGCGGGCGAACCCTTCTACGCCACCAGCGAAGCCGTCACGGCAATTGGACATGTAAAGGGAAAAGATGGCACTGACATCGCCGGTTCCGCAATGGTCCAATTCGACCCTTCTGACGAATATCGCAATTACCAACTCACCCTCACAAACTCCCACAAGAAAAACAACAATAATCATAATAATAACAACCACAACCACCATAGCAACAACAACAAAACCTCACCCCGCGTCTCCTTCATCCACGCCAACTTCCCCAAATTCAACCCAGCCACCGTCTTCGACTTAGCCCACGAGACAAAACCGACCTACCGCCCCGACGGCAGCGACGGACGCGCCTGGGTCGTGTCGCGCGACACCCTCGCCCGCTTCGGCTATGATGTCGAGCGCGCATACTGGGAGGAGATCCTGTGGGTGGCCTGCGAGCTGAAGGGCAAGTTTCGCTCGTGGGAAGGGAAGGAGGGTATCTGCGAGCGGGTGCAGAGGTATTGGGGGAATGTGTTTGGGGCGGAGGCGGAGGGTGTGGATGTGGATGGGGTGATGGGGCTTTGGGAGACGTGATGGATCGAGCTTTAAAATCGATTATCGAGCCAAAGGAGGAACGCATTTCCCTCCCCTCTCTCTTCCTGCGACTGGGGCGTCAGTGTTCGCGGTTAATGGTTGGGGCGAGCAGTCGGCTATTGATATGGAATGAGTGTTGTATAATTATTTCTTACTAACTTTCTTTTCTTTTTCCTCTTTTTCCTCTTTTTCCTCTTTTTTTTTCCCCTTTTGGGGGGGGGGGGGGGGTTCTTTCTTCTTTTGCTCTTGAGCGGGACCAACAAGTAACTTTCATATCCATATTTCTTTCATATATTTTTTTATTCCCCGGTATATATCCCCTTGGGGAGGCGTTGGTGGTCCCCAACAGTGTGCACCTGGGCCTGTCTATGTCATTGCTCAGCAGTCCCACGCCCCTGTGTCTCTTTACTTTCGCCGTTCGTGTTCGTGTCATTGCTTGATTCTTGCACATGCGTTTTGATATAGAGATCGCTGTATACATAAACGTGCATACATATAGATAGATAGATACACTCGGTTAGAGAGATAGATAGAGAGACCCGGGTTCCTGAGCTTCGTGCTTTGCAAGGGTACATGTACCACAATGTCTATGGAGTGATAATGATGATAGTTTTAATTGGTGCTTTCTTACTGACTTAAAGAAGGAGAGAACTGTGCGGAATACGTGTTCAATCAATCAATACTCCGTATATGGTGTTCAATATTCATTGGTCAGAGAAGAGTACGGCTTTCCATGAAAGAAATAGTAAGTAAGTAATAATAATAAAAAGAGAGAATATATGACTTCGTATCCAACACCAAGCCACCCATCTCATAAAAACCTCCAAATACACCCCTCTTTATTTACAACACGTACGAACAATAATAAACATTCGTTTATGGACTTTAAACGCTCGGCCCCTCACGACCTCTTCGGCTCCACTGATGTCCTTCAGGCCCCTTCGTCACATCCCTGGTCTTCTCCTTATACAGCATGCGCGTAAGCTGCTTATACAAAAACTCAGAACCACCATTATACCGGATACTATGGTCAGAATCCGTGAACCACTGCGTCGCCATCTTCTGCGGTGGCACCCCGGCACCCATCAGCAGATCAATCAGCGCCGCCGCGTGCTGGAAGTGCACGTTATCATCGCCCGTGCCGTGCTGCACGAGGAAACTGCCCGCGACATTCTTGAAGCCCTCGGGCTTGCGCACGGCGGTGGCGTTGTAGCCCGCCTCGTTTTGCTCATAGGTCTTCATGTAGCGCTCGGTGTACATGCTGTCGTAGAGGCGGAAGTCGGAGACGGGGGCGGTGATCATGCCGAAGGAGAAGATGCCGCTGTCTGTCTCGAGCACCTTGGATGAGAGGTAGCCGCCGTAGCTCCAGCCCCAGATGCCCATGCGGTCCTTGTCGACGAAGCATTTCTTGCCCAGGGACCTGGCCGCGGCGATTTGGTCCTCGGCTTCGAGCAGCCCGAGTTGCTTGGCCACGGTGGCGCGGAATTTGCGGCCCTTGAAACCCGTGCCGCGATTGTCGACGGTCCAGGTGATGAATTCTAGCTCTGGGTCGGATGCGATGTAGGCTTTCCAGTTAAGCGCTTTCCACGCTTTGCTGACCTCCTGGGCCCCCGGTCCACCATATGGGGTGAAGAGGACTGGATATTTCTTCCTTGGGTCAAAGTTCGCTGGAAGGCGTTGCATGACAGCCAGGGTATCACCGGATTCAATGGGGATGTCGAAAAATGTGATCTTGGGCAGTTTGTATTCCTTGAGCTTGTTCACTATTTCCTCATTGCTGGTGATTACCCGGAGGGGCTTGGGGGAATCAATAGAGTATAGTTCCTGGTAAGGAACGTCCGGGCCACGGTAGGTGAGAATATAATATCCGCCCTTGGAGGAGAAAGACGCAGACCAGTACGCCGCAACCGTGTCATCGACGAGAGCTTTTGTTTTCAAAGTGCTGTATGAAACGGAATATAGATGCCGTTCTGTCGGGTGATGTTTGGTTGAAAGATAGTAGATCAATTCGCGCTCCGTATCGATGCTAACAATACCCGTGACCTCCCACTCGCCAGAGGTCAATGCGATCGGTTTGCCCCCCTTCACGGGGAACAGGTAAATATGTGCCCACCCTGATTCATCAGAGATGTCAACATAGTAAGTGTCGCCGTGGCCTTGGGTCTTATCATTTTTAACATTGCCAACGTATTGGATGGACATCAGATTGTCCAACCAACCATCGGTGCCATCCCGTTCACGAACTACTGAAGCTTTTCCGGAGCCCGTGTCCACCAAGACAATCTTTTCCTGATCTTGGACTCTGTTGAAAGCGCGGAAAACGACTTCTTGGTGCTTTTCCGTGACCCATGCAACTTCACCGATAATCAACTCATCCGCGGGAAACGCATCAGTGGGCACTTTTTTGCTCTTGAGTGAGCTCATATCTAGCAGGTGGAATTCAACCGTGGGATTTGTTTCAGACACCTTTGGATAACGGAGATCCAGCTCCTTAGGGTAGGGTGGAGCCACTTTTTTGTTGTTCATATAGTACGGGATTGTGAATGTAGGCACCCCAGTTTCGTCGAAGCGTAGGAATGCAAGTGACTTCCCGTCAGGAGAGAACCAGAATGCATACCGATCACCGAAGATTTCTTCTTCATAGACCCAGTCGGGGACGCCGTTGAAGGTGTCAGGGCCACCATCGGTAGTAATTTGTGTGGTGGTACCGTCCTTCCTGATAAACAAATTGTTTCCACGGACGTATGCGATTGTGTTCCCAACGGGGCCCCAAGCAGCATACTGCAGATCACCGGCTTGGTCTTCGGCCAAAGGAGTCAACTCGCCTGTCTTAACGTCTTGAATAAAGTAGTTAGAGAAGTAAGAATGGCGATACTGCTTGGTGTAGTTGGTAGCCCACATCACAGCCGATAGGTCCGGCTTGAGGAAATATTCATGAGCGTCATCCGGCACTTGGTCAGCCTTGATCAACGTCTTCTTGGTTTCAGTAATGATGCTCTGGATAACGAGAGTTGAGTCTTCGTCCTGATACAAGTACTGGCCGTCCTCGTCCGTGGAGATCCAGTCCACTGAGATAGTTGCGGGAGAAATCTTCGCCCTGGGAACCGTCTCATTATAGGTCAGAAGCTTATCACCGCCGCCAATAGGAGGATGCGGCTGGCGCGCGGGTTCAATAGCCTGGCAGATGCCCGCAAGGAAAAGGAGCATAAATGTCTATGCATTTAGGCTGCTCAATCAGTATATCGCATTCTCAGAGTCCATACCGTGGTTGGTCATGAATATGTGTGTTTTGCCCGGCTTACTTACCTTCATGTTGAAATTCTCCAATGTGCGATCTCTTCAAGAAATGATAGTGATATCGATAAACAATGCCGCAACCAATGCTCTTTAGCTCTGGAGATGCACGAGAAGGGAAACCGCGGGAACGACTGTAAGGCGATAGCAGCGTACTCCTTGACGAAACACTGAAATCTAAAGTTTTCCCCGGGATCGCGATAACCGCAGTGTCCACAGCGTCTGCAAATAACCCATGTTGAGTAAAAGCGAAGGGGGTGGTGATGCGCAAGACGATATATATATATATATACCCGCAAATTCATGATTTCCCCTGACTCGACCGAGAGCTTGCCGATCTTTCACGTCAATGGCACCTTCTTCTTTCCCGCAAATCAGGAGCTGCTGAGCCAGGACTTTGCTAGCTCCTCTTAGCCGTCATTTAACAGGGAGGAGGATGTTACATCGAACAACTCGACAATAATTCCACGACGGGCATAATGGGTTTTGGTTTCTCCTGGCACTGGGGAGAAGGCAGGGTGGGTCGCAATTGGTGGAAATGTTAAGTGCGTCATTGTGAGCAATAAGGCGAAGTCTTTTGTACATGTACATGTATATACATCACATCAAAATGCTGGCGGTGCTGGTTCTGTGTTGTGTGATGATGATTTCTTTTTTTTGCGGAGTGTAGACTCACTACTACTGCCGAGTGAGTGTGGAGTGACAAACGCGGAGAAGGGGCTTCAGTTAAGCATCCGGAAGGCCAAGACGCTAGAACTTTGTTAAGCCAGCCTCCAGTTAGTTAAAGCTAGTGAAGGCGGTTCAGGGGCTAGTTCAGGGGCTAGCTTCCCGGCTAACAACGGCAGACACAACAGAGTATGGTAAGTACTCCGTGCGATGTTTCCTCATCCATCCTTCGTTGCTCAACCTCAATAATAATAATAATTAATATTGGCGAACTCTCTCTCATATTTGTGCGTCTGAATTCAGGGCTATCCAATTCCAACCTGCCAGTCTAATAGTCTGTCCTGCAGCCGCTGGTCTCTTCAAAATCTTTTATTAGCGGTGGAGATTTGCCAGGACACACACACATCTTGAAATTAGAGCACAATATATCAAACAATTTTCTCCAACACCTTACAACGCCCTCCTATTCGAACAACTTCTCACTAGCCCAGGCTGAGGTAACGTCGTCTACTGCATACCCTGCAGCTTCTTCTTACTCTCCAAGCCGCTGGGCATGAATTATCCGGGGGTAAACAATCCAGCCTTGAGCCTTCGCGCGGTTTGTGACTCTCATCATCGGAAAGTTGCGGCATGTGTGCGTAGGAGAAGATTATTTGCATCCTTCCCCGCTCCAACACCCATGTCCTCGCCTCGAAACGCAGTGTTTACCCTGTCAGTTGGCTAACTATTCATCAGATTCTCTGTTACTAGCTTCCTGGATGCCAATTGCAAAGCTGCAGGTCTCCATTCCTATTTGAAAAGCCCGAAACGTGAAAATGAATGCCATACTTCTCTAAGGGCAGAGATCAAAATGATCAAGAATGTGGTGTGATCAAGGAAGTTGTTGAAGTACATAACGTGTACATATATCTACTCCGTAGTTACAGTACTCCGTACATTATCTGGCATCCCAACCTACGTTGCGCTGCATTGCCAATCAACCGGGCCGTTCCTTGCTTTCCGGCCCTCCGCTTCCATAACTAACTACGCCAAAGCTTATATTTGGTATGCGGCTCCACGCTGGTTCAGGAAATAAAAATTTCTTTATTTATTCCTTCCAGTCATTCCCCGCTCCGAACCGCAGGACCCTACGCATACTACTCTGGAACGAGGCTTTACTCTAATATAAACCATGAGACTACCAAGGACATCCCGTACAATTTCCGCTGCGAAACACTGGGCAGGTATATCGCAAGCCATCCTTGGTTTAACAATTATGCACCAACACCAGGTACGCTGCCGAAATTTCAGTTAAAACAGTCAAGCTCGAATTTGGTGCTCTGCATGCATATTAAGCTAATGAACGCCACCACTATCAACACAACTGTGGCTCCAAGAATCGTTCGTTCGTATTTACCAAGTCGCAACGAAATTAACACTATTAGAAATCACAACATAAAGCCTCCAGGCCCGGGTTTCCACCCGTCGAATACCATATCTTCCTTCCTATTTGAGACTGGAACTACTAATTGCCCAGACTACAACTGTACGCTCAGCGTTTTACAAATCTTGGTGTCAACCCCATGCATCTCCTTCGGGAAATGACAATTTGGTCGGTGGCACGGATTGTTCGGGCACCTGTGACCGGAATAACAATTTTCATCCTCGCACTCCAATCCGGAAGGGCACGGTGCGAGTCGTGCTACGTAGCGCAGAGCCTCCATCATTTTCTCACTCAGCCGTTCGCCATGCTCATGCTTACAAGCAACAAAGTGGCAGGCGCCCAGCAAATGGTATGGGTTGCAAAGTTTCCGCGATTTCAGGCTTTGGACAATGCTGGATGAAGGCTTGATGGAGGAGTCGACGCGCTGTCCATATTTATTCTTCAGAACCGCGGGCCCGGAGTTCACGGTACCATTACCATTGAACCAAACTGGTCCATTGGCGCCGTTGGGTGAACCTGGCGTTTTCTCAACTGATGCGGGAGTGGATGGTCGGGAAGAATTATACCCCGGCGGAGAACTGCTGAAAGATGCGGCATGTGCGTAGCTTGGAGGGGATTTAGACGGGGTCGGCTCATACATAGGTGTGGCGGAAAATGAAACTCTTCTAATCGGAGGTAGCTTCGTGTCTCGGAAGAGCGTTGGGAATGAGGTAGTGCGGTACCTATTCTTCAACTCTGCTAGCTCTTTCTCGAATGGTGGGCCTTCGAGCATCGTCACACGCTTGCAGAATTCCGGACTACTGCTGTAGGGCCCGAGGAGACGCGCATATCCGTTATCGGTGGAAGCGGCAAACACGATGTGCTTACAATGGACATTGCCAGCGTGCAACTTGAAAATTTCTGGAGTTGAAGCAGGTTAACTGGCAAGTCCTTTCGTAGGATCTTAGTGCGATAGGAGATTTACCGCGAATCTTATCATCCGAGCATTCTTTGCCAGCACCTGCGTCCACAAAGCTGCACAGGGGATGGCCCATGTTGAATCCACGAACAAACAGCTCAAACTCATTCTCATCGTCCAGTATATGAGCTTGGTATGTTCGCCTCAACCCCTTCAGATTCGCGAATACACGGACATCGACGGAGAAGTGGGCGGGAGGATCGGCCAATTCATTCTGCACGTATCTCGACACTAGTTGAATTAGGAGTCGGGCAGCTTCTTGACCTCCCGACTCACCTTGCTCGACAAACTCGTCCAAAAACTATCATTCACATCAGAATTGACAACAAACCAACAATGGTAGTGATGCTTAATATCGAGAAGGATTCACAGGGTAAATCTCATACATTCATCGAGTCTCCGTCAACCAAAACGGACACAAACGCATTACGTTCCTAAAATATCAGATGCGCGTACAGTTAGCCCGGCCGAACCCAGTGGTTTAAATACTTCGTTGCGAACTATTCCCGGGGAGGGTCAAGTTCCCTAACCATATTCTGCTGAATCTTCTGCAAATCCGCCTTCGTTTCTCTGACACGCTGATGATACATATTTGCCATATCCTTCTCTTTTTCTAGATCCACGTTCTTCTTGTCAAGATCAACTTCGAGGCTCTTGATCTTTTGGAGCAATCCCTTTTTGCCACATCTGTTAGTTTTCAAGTGTATGAAACAGTTGGATCGGATTAAGACCGGCAAGCAAAAGGCACGGATACACACCTCGATGAAGCTGCATGCGGCTTCACTGGCTTTTCTAATCTGTATGAACTGCTCTTGATCAGGGCTGGTCACCCCAACGAGCGCCCCTGGCATGTCTAGAACTTCGGACATTGAATTGCTTCACTCGTTGTTGATTCGAAGTACGGTAAAATAATGATAAACAATCTGCTGCTTTAGAATTCGAAGGGAAAAAAAACAGCAGTTCCCCCAACTCTATATATATATATATAGATACCTATCCACATTGAGCCATACACCTTGGGCATTTCGCACGGCCACTTGTCAGGCGTCATTAAGGTAAGCCTTGCAGAACATTAAACACAAGGAGTAGGTGAATCTGCCAGCCTGTCTGTATACATTTACCAATGAATAAAAGGCACATCGGGACCTTGGATGAGAAGGGGGCCAGATAAATGAGTGAAGTAGCGGCTGGAGCATTTATTCTGCAGCTCTCCATTAAATCTCATGGATATATCTAGCTCCAAGTCAGCCGCTGGCTCTGTTGTCGTGTGCCTTTTTTCAGTGTTTTTGTTTTTGTTTGCTTGTTGTTCTTGACATTGACATCTGAACGAAGGGGGTGCGAAGGGAGTGACCCGATTGCCCCCAGTCCCGCAAGCCAAGGCCGACCGATGCATGCCCGCCGCTGCTGTTGTCGCCTCACCCCCGCATCATCTGCCAACTTTTGCCCACACTACTGGATTCAACGTATCGATTTTTCATGGTTGTTTGAGGTTTTCTTTTCCCTTTTTTCGTTTCTTTTTTCCCCATGCTGGCTGGCAGGCTGTTAATATTCAGAGTTTCTCCGTTTCATCTTTCATTTTATCGACCCCATCATTACATGATTGAATGGATATAAGAAACAAGAATACATCGTATGGTCTACATGAGGGCCATTGATAACTAGGAAAAATGGTATTTCTCCCTTGCCCTCACTTCGTATCACTGATTCTCTGCTTTGCTCATCCATGCACAGGCGGAAGGAGACAGATCAATTTTACGACCCGCCCAAAGTTCAAGGGTCTTTCCCTAGCTTTTGTTAACTCGCTCCCGCCCCAGACCCTATGACACGGAGAAGAACTAGTTGACCTATGAGATAAAGCCCGCCAGCGCACCACTCTGTCCCTCCTTAGGCATTAGACATAGGCGTATGCGTCGCATAAGGCACTAGGGTGGAAAAGCGGGAAATTTTGCCTAGCTATTTAAATATGTTCGTTTTGAGCGGTAACCCCCCCCCCCCAGGATCCCTCGCTCCTCTTATGTATACGCGTAGCCCATATCTAGGCTGGGCTGCTGACCAGTGGTAGTGTCTGAAATGTCATAACCAATCGATATTCGTAAACATCGCCCGGAACTTTTCACCACCCTCCATTAATCAGCTCAGTGCAGGGAGGTTATGGAATGGGAAACTATTTATTGGTGGAACGCTTCCCCCCGTCTCCCGCTCTCTCTCCCCTACTCCCCTAATGGGAACTCCCAACAACGCCCTCCATGTTTATTTTTGCCTAGTCCATTCGGGATTAACAACGCCCCAATTGGCGAAGTCAGCGCTTTAATTCTTCCGGTCCATTAGCAATCTGTGATAGCCAAGACAATAGAATGATATAGACAGCCAATCGTCGCTCTCGATAAGAGGCATGTTTTTGGCGGGTGTTCCAGTGCCTTGGCAACCGTATGTTTTAGTCGATGATATCACTGACTGCGGTTGGATGGACAGTGGAGGAACCTAGATTTTGAGAAGGGTACTCCGTAATGCCTGGGGAGAAGTGGTAGGTATGGCATATTAATGCCACCAAGAATTCGTCGACAAGATCAATAGCAAGGGAGCATAGCTATATGTCTCTGGTATACCCTCTTTCCAACGCCACTGTTAAACAATATTGAAGATAGATTCCGTAGGCGTCGCTAGTATTTAATAAACCGGCGTTTGTCGAAGCGGCAAAATGCATTGACAATTGAAGGCGTCTGGTTAAATACAAGGAAAAAAAAAAAAGATTTCGCTCGTGGTTGGCTCCTCTGCATGATTGACCTTGCTCAAGATAAGGCATCAAGGCGTTGAAAATGTCATGCGGCATCAGTCAATCTGCACGGCTACCAATTGCTCATTGAAGTTATGACGGGAATTGGCTCAGCAGGAGACCTCCATCGGAGCCGCAGCGTCTCAACATAGACGATAGACGGTGCTAGGAAAACCCGCAACATATACTCATCGAGGTGTATGGTATTCAGCCGAGAATACGCCCGGAGATAGACTGGTGGATGACGCGTAAAGAGCTCTCTAAGAAATCGTTGCCAGATATGTGTCGAACACGTCACACGCATATCAGGGATGAGGAAGCCTCGCTCTTGATTATGCTGATTAGAGATCCGGTTCAATATCCTCACGGTAGATAGGTATCTGCTGCGTAGGTAGTGACAATGAAAAACCCCCCTTCATAGCTCGAGGATCAAGAAAAGAGTGTTTATCAACTGAAACGTGTTCGAATGTTGTGCAAATGGCGTGCATTGGTCTCTTCAATGATATCTCGCAACATGTTCAATGTGGGGGCGAGATGCAGCTAGGGGTGTTGACTTCTGGATCCTGAAAGACACACCTCGCTTGCGTTCTTTTTCTCAATAACGCTTTCAAACTATGTCTAAATCATCATTTTATTTGAGCTATAGCAAGCTCAGCCGGCACGGACCAACTGGAGCTCCCTCGACATCGTTAACTATCGCTGCCATCAACTTCTCCCTTCCTCCCCTGAGTCTCTGCGAATGTACGGAGAAAGTGTAAGTGCTAAACATCTAAACTCGACCTCGTTTCGTCCTTTATAAAACTACGGAAACTACTAGAAGTATGAAAATCTGTGACTTCATTATTAACAGCCGCCCCTTTCTACGCCAAGCTCAGCATAACGTTATCTAAAGCCATTACAACAGTGAGCAAATGGATGGCGTTGTTGAGATGAAGGTATACATAACATCATGCTGGGAGGTATATAATGCGTGCCCTGAGCTGCTGAACGGGGACTCTGTTTTCTTAAGCACGCTGAAATCATCATTAGGCTTTATTCAAAGATATTTTACCATTTATATTTCTCCCAAGACCCGGCTACCCCTACCAACCACGAAATTTCTGAACAATTGTTGGAAGAAAAAAAAAAAAAAAAAAAAAAAACCATGCAAGCTACGAATAACTGGTCCTTTCACTCCATCGCCGGAGCATATATGCTTGGCCTAGCCCCTCATGGATACTACGTGCTTAAACTAGCTTCAATGAAACAGATATCCAATGTCCTGTAAGTTGTCTCCTAGGGCTGGGGCGTGGAACAGGGGAAGTATTTCATTATTTGACATATACGGCCCGAAATTATTGCTAACAAAGAGATTTTCCTCCGACAGGCCTCGCGACCACTTCTCCTCACTCAAGGGTCGTATCCCAGCGGAGACATGGGGTAAGCTCTTTCGCGCGCACAGCGCGCATCTGAATGCGTTAGAGTCCCTTCCTTTGTTTGCTGCTGCAATGGTATGTACACACCGTCAATAAAACATTGTGCATCCTGCCAAGTCACAAGGCCGTTCTAGTCAAAGAAATTTTTGAGGGGATAACAACTAACAAAAATCAAATAGATCGCAGGAAATGCCGCGAAGCTGCCTGCCAGCGATCTAAACCTGATCGCTGCTGAATATATTGGTGCCCGTATGATATACACCGCGCTGTATATGAGTGTCAAGTCGGAAGGTCTCAGCTACTTGCGAAGCGGAGTGTGGGCATGGAGTATCGGGTTGCCGCTCTACGGTCTGATCAAAGCTGGGAGGGCGCTGGCGGGAGGTGAGGGAGATATTCCTTAGATTCTGCTGTTACTATAGCGGTTGTTGTTGGTGTCGCATTTTTCCTTTGCATGCCTGTATATATTATTGGGGCGAGATTATTTGAGAAAGAAATGGTGGTCAGCGTTGGTTTTGGCACAATAAATAGTGGGCCTTTGCTGCACATCTCACTATACAGCCCCCAATTTTTGACATAGAGGACAGTAGTATCAGAGGGCTTGAAGATGTTCGGAGGCATCGAACTACCTTAAGCATGCATAATACATACTCCATTATAACTGTTTTGTTTCAATATCGAATTTTTAACATCAAAGTAGAATCGGCGGAGCGTTGCTGTTGGATATACCCTAGTAGGTCCGCTCCATAAGTCACCAGCTAGATGTTGATGACCACCTCAACATTTGTGATTTGAGAGATATGCAGGATTGACATACATAATGAATCTTGCATAGCCCTACAGAGCTATCATTCGTGTCAATCCTATAAAAACCCCACAGAAGGTGGCCACGAGAACACACATGAAGTTAGTTTGTACTGTATATACATACATTTACTGTGCAATCCAACGCCATTTTAAGGGAAACAAACAATAACAAGGACTCGTCATAACTTCCTCTAACCAGTCTTTAAAGATTGTTCTAGGCTCCAAGGTAAGAATAATAAGTCTTGCTAAAGAGATATAGAGGGTTTGGCTGGGCCTCATCAACTATGTGAGGTGTTTAATGATTGGTCAGAACCCGAAGAGCACAGTAAAACGCTAAACTTTGTTTGGCCTGGTGCCTGCCCAGGTGTTTCTGTACGGATCGACCCTTTGTTCATTGAAGAACTTCAATGCGTCTTAACTTCTTCACGTACGTTGTACTGTACTGGCTGCGTTTTATTGATATGAAGAAAGGGAACAATAGTACCCAAATTTCATCATGGGAAAAGGACCGAAGTACCCGTACATTGTACATGTACAGTGCATACATCCATCCCACAGGGATGCGACTGTTTGCCCCCAGGTACCCGCATTCAATGTCTTCTGCTTGAGCCAAATCCAATGAAACTCGCTTCTTTTACTGGTTTACGGAACTTGGCCACTTGGGGAGTAATACGCAGAGTCCTTTGGCCAAATCCCCAAATGACCGCAAAGCTCATCGGCATACCAATGCTTCTTGTCAAAGGATCGAATCGATGGACCGAAATCGTAAGGATATCTCAACTCGTTTACTCAGAAAATTCTTTGAACATTGTTCAAAGGCAGAGAGATGCATGCCTGGTGTTCTCCTTCCCCTTACTGGGGACCCCCAAACCCAGATATAGTCTCCGTGTGAATGTCGTACTCCAAATGCACAAACGCAAGCCACATACAGATGAAAGCAACCGATAATGCGAACACTTAACATTAATAGGATTTGTCCTGCATCAAAGAAGAGTCACTTAACTGTCGAGATATAATACTCCCCTCTAGTGCTCTGTTTTCTCTTTCACAAAATTATTGTTTCCCTTAGGCAGACAGGTGCTTGTGGGCGAAATAATGGCAAAACTCCCGGGCGTCGTGTATGATTTCAAGTTCTCAAATTTGATTGAGCCTAGCAGAATTTCGCCGGCCTGTTTTCATAGCACACTTCCTGTCCGCGTGTCGAGATTCGTCGGGCAGTTTCAAGCCGCATCACTCGATGCCTGGAGAGAATGGACAGAGGCGCTGGAGGCTGATCAAGAAGATTCACAGCTACGCGCCTTACATCTCACCGATAGCGGTGATAACTTCATGTCGTTACTACTGCCAGAATGCCCACCAGAGTTAATTACTCCGTGGACGAAATTTGCACAATTTGGTTTATGTTGGCATGGTATGTCCAGCGGCTTTCATGATCTCATGAACGTTTTTGAGCTTATAGTATCTGAGCAGATGCCGCTAAGAATCTCGATGAGCAATCTGTGAGTGCATCATGACGTAGGAGTTGATATTACAGGGAGGTTCTTAACTAACGCAAGAACAGCGTAACTCGGCGTTGACAGACCTACTGCAAAATCTGGACCAGAAGAATCAAAACTTCCAGTTCAAAATTAATGAACTGTGGTTTGATGCTTTTAAGGACTTCACGGGGACAGTTGGCATCACCGATCCCTGCACTCATTTCTCGAAGCTTTTCAAAAATATTGTGACAACAAAGCGAACTGCAGATCTCACGGTTGAGATGAACTTCGAGGAGTATAAGTTGCTTCGAGGAGACTATGGGGAAGAAAGGCATGGCCAAATAGCCCCTCAACAGCTCTAAGGGATATGCTAACGCGTACCTCTCTACTTTTGTTCAGGCTCATCATCTCTCTCGTTGCATCGTATGCACGGATCTCGGAGGAAGAGCAGAACTCAATTTCCTCCTTCGTCGATAAAGGGATTTTGGCCCTTGCTTTGCTCAATGACCTCTACGACTATCAGAAAGCGTTCAGAAATGACAGTAAAGGTGCCACTTTGGATAGGATCTCCAACACGGTTGTATTCCTAATGTCTACTTATAGTAGATCTGAGGATGATGCTGTGAGGATTTTGAAGACTGAGATTTGCGCGCTTGAAGATGCTGCGTTGCATGAATATGACACTTGGCAGTTGTCAGCGGTACAAAGGTCTGATGAACTTCAATTTTATGCTGCCTTAATCATGGCGGCAGCAGGGGGGATGGCCTATTGGAAAGCGACTTTTGAGACAGACCCGGCGACGAGCGCAAACGATGGAGATATACCTGTTAGTTACAGTTCCAAGAACTGCATACCTCGCCCACCCCAAAACGGTGCACTCACGAATGCGCAATGGACTACACAGGATAGTCATCAATTAATGGATACGAATGATTTCTCCGGCTCCATTACAAACGTCGCAAAGACAGCCTCAAAACTGTCTGGAAACAAAGCCCAAATTTCCGTCACAGCAGAGATTGATGTCTTCCAAACCTTTAGGAGGGCACCATCGGAAACGGTGAGCCATCTGTTCCCACTTTTATAGGCACCTCCTAATAAAAACTTGGACAGATGTGCATGGCACCGTTTGAATACACTATTTCCTCTCCTAGCAAGGGAAACTTGTCTAGACTCGTAGAGGGTTTACGGGCTTGGATCCCTGGGCTGCGAGAGGAATCAGTTAAGGTCATTGAAACCGCAGCCATGATGGTCTATCACAACTTGTTAATGTGTGTAAGGCCCTGTTCTTCATTCGCATAGCCGATACCGCATGACTGAAAATGTTCTTCAACCGATTTAGGGTAGATGATGTACAAGACGGCTCGCAGACGCGGCGAGGAATGCCTGCAGCGTACATCTTGTATGGCACGAATCAGACCATGAACTCGGCAACCTACGTTTGGGTTAAAATATTCGAGCTAATGGCGCAATTGAAATTCGCGGATGCATGCAGAGATATCTTAATTGGTAGGTTGAATTGAAGCCTCTTAAGCCTTCCCACACTCAGACAATTTTGGGTAAATTGTTAACTTTACTGTCACAGATGAATTGAAATCCTTGGGTCTAGGCCAGTCTCTGGAATTGCACTGGAGATTTCACAAGCTGTGTCCACCCATCAGTGATTACTTTGTCATGGTCGACAATAAGTCGGGGAGTTTCTTTCAGCTCGTGATGAGGTTAATGTCTGCAGAGTCGGAGAATCCAGCAGCCCCGGACACCAAGCTGTCACATTTCATTAATCTACTGGGAAGATACTATCAGATATGGAATGATTATCAGAATTTGGAGTCTAGCGAGGTAAGTTCTGTTCTTTTACCCTCATTCAAGTCCCCATTCCTTCGATCATTATTCTTCAACCCCCCACCCAAGACAATCAAATGCTAATTATTACTTGATTTGCCCACTTCCACCTGCAGTACATGGCCATGAAGGGTTTCTGTGACGACCTTTCAGAGGGGAAGCTATCGATAATTCTAATACACACGCTTCAGAATAGTGTCGCGAAGGACCGAATTAAGGGGTTAATGTTCCATCGCGAGCCGGGTATCGAGCTTTCGGACGAGTTAAAATCGTATATACTTTCCGAGATGAAGGCTGCGGGGAGCTTAGATTTCACGAAGCATGTTGCTTTACAGTTATATGACGCTATGTTGGAAACCTTGACTGAGCTGGAGGCTACGATGGGAGAGAACAAATTATTGAGATACATTCTCCATGCGTGGAAAATATGATTCCATGTGGTTTGTGAGTTTCCAGCAGGTGTTGGGCAGCTTAGACGAAGAGGCATAATTGTATATGGGACTATATGAAGAGAAATTCCCAGCGAGATGGGCGGCAAAGAAAGATAAGCGAGGAATGCCTGGTGGGTATACAACGACAGTGAAATACAATAAATACAATGTTCACCAGGGGTATTTTCAAGAGCTACCTGACATTTTCAAGGAAAGACATGAACGCGAAACTCTTGAACCAATTGTGCCAGGGAAGTTCCTGGTTATTAAAACGCAATTCACCGCGCATCCACAGCGGAAGTGGCCCGTTTAGTTTGCATATCCTGTCTCTTTATCAAAACTCAAAACATCCCCGTACTAGGCTTATTTTGTAACAAAAATCCGCGACGCCCGCCGTTGAAAAGATTTCACCAACGAGCGAAAACCCTCATTCAAGTTCCTGCGATTGGACCTCTGCTGCAATGGCCCTGCCTGGCGGCTTGGGACTCGGCTAGTGAGACTTTGCGCTTCAGATGTGCTATCAAATTCATCGGATGCTACGACCGCTACTCTGCGCTCACGAACAAGATTTGTCACTACATCCACAACGGGTTGGTTATACCTGGACGACAACTCGACATATTTGGCCTTCCTCTGTGGAGACCACCCGTGGTTTACTTGGGGTGACCCATCCCAATTCAGCCACTAAAGTCAAAGGTTTCGGCGGCAGGAACGTGTTTTCATTCCAGAATATTTTGGATCCTTCTTCATAAAAGAGTCTACACACTTTCAAAATGTCCAAGTTAATCCCAGCGACATGTGCCATGGTAAGCGGAACAGGATCAAGGACATGTGAGAGCTTCGCGCAGGACGGAGATTTGCAGTTCCGGCAGGCGTGGGAAGCACATAAATGTTTGTGGTGTCTCCAAATTCGCCGCTTGGGTCGCTTTATCTTCTGATGACGCTTTGTAAATTGGCCAGCCAGGGAACACGCAGCTCTGTGGCGTAGATCTGAGAAATGCAGCATGGGTTTGCTGGGTTAAATCAAGCTCCTCCCTCTCCGTGACATCCAATGTGAGGATGAGGGTGTGGGTGTCCTCGAATAATAGGTGCACCTGTTGGTTATACTCCGTAGCAGTATTCTAGCATTTCTATCACAACAGCCTTGTCGTCGACCACCATCTGCTTTCGGTACTCTTCGCCACCAAACGGGTCGTATGTTTCAAGCCAGCCGCCGTAAAAGAACTTGAGAAAGGGTGAAGGTTCAGCTTGACTGTTACTGATAACATCGATGTTCCTTTGCCACAATTGGATACTGTCTCTGAATCTGTTTAGCTTATGGGAGTGGGGAAAGGTGGTGTGTAAAAGTTTGCTATTCACGGATTATTACTGCGTTCTTCTTGAATCCATTTTGGAGTAACTAGTTATGTGAGTAGTTAAGCAACGGCACGAGTACTCCGTAGTTAATAACTAACTACTGTAAGTTACTGTAGTTACTAGTTAGTTACTAACTGTGCCATGCTTACTCACTCTCTCTAGTGAGTGCACCACAGTGTATGGAAAACCACATCATACAGAAAATATTTTGAATATATTGATCTTCAAAAATTAATTAATAATCATCACCACATCTATCTATAACATAAAGATTATCTATATACTCATTAGAAGGTGTAGAATCCACTGTAGATTGAGATTCTATAGAATTATCTTGTTGTGATTGAGTGACTGTAGATTTTATAGATTTGATTTCAATCAATCAAAGATTCTTATTAAACATCTTTTTTATCTTATCTGCTCTACAGATTGTGATCTTGTGATTGGCATCCTTAATAGTGAGAACTCCATCTACTTGCACCTGCCTGTGAGAGGATTTGACAACCTGATATCTATTTACTTAATAATGATCTGCAAGTTCATCCTTATGATATGTGTTCAATTCCACCTGAATCATGCTACTCTTGAAGATCTTGTTCAACTGCCTTGTCAAACCAGGTGTAAGAGTATTCTTCACATCTTCTAAGGTCTTGACTGCTGCATTGATTTGGTGACATAGTTTTGCAACTGTCTCTGGAGAGGTTAATTGCAAGGAGACAGTTGATAATTGATCTGCAGATAGTGAGGTAAAGTGATTGCATACATCACCATCATCATCATATATGTTGAGATCCAGAGCATCATCAATGATAAGAGGTCTCAATTGATTGAGAATTATATCATGATTAACTGGATACATTCTGCGGTCAGCAAAGCCAGCTCTCACAGTGTCAGGTTTGAATGCTTGCAGTCAGACACTCTTCAGATTAGCAAGGAATTGTCTGTCATCATACTGCTCATATCTGTAGCGGGCGGCCTCATTAATAATATTCAACTGATGAATCCATATCTTAATTGTCTCTTCCTGGCTGTCATTCAATGCTCAATTCAGTGGAATCCTCATAGTCCTTGATTTCTTCCTGTTGATCCTCCCATACAAGGTGATATATAAGACTTTGAATTCTCACAACAGAGACATGATTTTTAATTTTGAATTGCTTTTATACATGTCAACAGCTCTTTGCAACTGCTTCTCAGTATAATTAGAAGATTTAGACATGATTATAATTAATGATGATTATTTGAAGATGAAGAATGAAGATATTGAAAATATTTTCTGTACAGTGTGGTTTTCCATACACTGTGGTGCACTCACTAGAGAGAGTGAGTAAGCATGGCACAGTTACTAACTTACAGAAAACAACAGACAGCCCTCCTCATTTGTCTAACTTGCATCATTATATCCATCGTTGTACTTAGGTACTTCAACAACTGCTCTTTCTCATGAAGAAACGAGACCAGCAATGCAAGCATCAAGAAACGCAAATTTCCACCTACCAACAAAGGAAATCCCAAAAGGAGAAGAAAAACCCGCTTCAAAATTACCGCCGTAACAAAAGAGAAATGAAAATAATTGCTCTTCCTCCGCAGACAGATGCATCGAGTTTTGAAAGTCACCTTATCGGTCTCCTGATCATGTACGCCGCGTTTGTCTAACGCAATCGCATATTAACCCCAGAGGCTTCATTTCTCGATGTCTTTGGGATCATGCTCCTGCGACTGGCGCCACAGGAAGACCATGCATGTCGCTGACAACGCAAACAAGATGCTGGCGAGGGAAGTCAATTTGGGCTGCAAATATAACAAAAGTTTGAATGCCAGATTGTCCACCCCGCTGCACATCCGTGGGGGTGGTTGAGGGAACTGCAAACTCACCAAAGAGCTATGCTAAGCCCCCAGATGGACTTCATCTCAAGGCAATATGCCTTCGAAGCCCCGGCCCACTGGGCATAACCTAGCTTACCGCCATCCTTATCGAGATTTTTCAGCAGGGCCGTGGTGAAAGCGAAACCGGAGGACTCGGTAACCTTGCCTATCAACTCGCAGTTGAGATAGGAGAGTGGCTTCCCTACAACCACTGCGATCACGATCACCGCAATCAGATGAAGGGTATCCATCCCGGCAGAGATGAGCAGAGGGAGGATCCCGTCCAGATAGAGGATGAAGGTAATTGCGCAGTACAGCGTGGCAATGCATGTCTGGAATTTCGCATATGTCAGTAGCTGGCATGAAGGGGATGCTTCTCTTTCTGGACAAAGCGGCTCCGTGGGGTTTTCGAACACCTACCACGCTGAGTGTGCCGACAAGCACTTGAGGTGGAGTAATGCTGGCCTTAACCATGTCTGAAATGAAGTTGGCTGTCATACCGATGATGGAGACTAAGCAGACCACCTGAAGGACGCGGACAACCTTGAACGTGATTCCAAGAGCGCCATCGTGAGAAGAGCCCATCTTGCTTATGTTAAGGGCGCCGACGTTTAAACAGAATATTGCAAGAAAAAATATCTAGAAAAGATAAAGATCGCGAGAGCTGTCGAAGCTATTCGTCTCCAACGCGGTTGTGTAGAGCTACAAGTATCCGGATATAAGGTACGGCGTGTTGTCGTAAGGAGGGAGATGACGCCGGGAAACGATGAAATATGAATATGAATAGTAGCAACGGATGATGAAACTACGATTTTCCAGAGCCTATAGCGAAAGGATTTGAGAAACAAAGAGGGAAATCGGAATGGAATAGAATATTACTTCTTCTTTTTTCTTCTTAGAAAGAAAATAAAAAGGCTGAGGAACGAAGGCAAAAAAGGAGTTTGAAATGAAACCCGAAAGGCAACAGAAGGCAATAGGAAACTCGTGAAATAGAAAGAAAGGGAACAGACAACTTTTTTCAGTTTGCTGATTGATTGATATGAACGAGAGAAAACGAGTTTGAACATGGCAATCGTATCTGCTTTTATATACAAATCTCCCGCTGAGTCGAGTTCACCTGGCGAACAACATGACGCCGATCATATTGTCTAGAACAGTTCTTTTTTCCGTTCTTAGAGCTCCATACCGCATCGCTAACAACTCAACAATCGTCAAGAAACTCAATATCGAAGAGATCCAAAGCTTCTGAGCAATCAAAGTGTATGGAAACATGTTTGAGGTCCCTTCTGAGGATGCGCCGTCACAGCCAATCAGTCTCCTGAAGACCTGAGGGCCAAGGGCCGATCCCTGTACTTTGGTCGCTGGAGACGGGCGAGCCCTTAAAAATAGATAGGGCCGCGCAAGGCGCTGGGAACTTCGAAGGCAGTCCCAAAGCTTAGAGCAAGAGAGGCACCACAGCGCGTAACGCAAAGCCTTTCCCAATGGATCCTTGCGCTGACCACAAATTAACAGCCAAACAACCACATCTGAGTAGCAAGTTCTGAAGCACGGGAACTTGCTAAATATTTTCTTCGACGTTTCCAATACGCGCTGCTCTCTTGGTTTGGTGGTGAGATATTGTTAATCCCCGGTCTATCCAAAAGCAACCACCATGCTTTCTTTCGTCGGAAAATGGCTAGAAGTCGTTGAAAAGGCGCGGCCGAGTTTGGCTGAAACCGAAGCCACCCGGAACATTTCTTTTTGATGAGGTCCTCAGGTTTCAGCTTTTCTTTCTTTCAAGTCCTTATTGTTTGTTGTTTGTTGGGATTTGCGAAACAGCCTAGGATGGGACCTTTCAATTCGTTGAATCCACGAGTGCAGTGATGTGAACCCACAAACAATGGACTTGCGCTCTCAAACATTTCATGATCAGAATTAAGTTTACAGAATGCGGTGTATACAGTTTAGACAGCTCTTGAATCTGATTACGTTTGTGATGAAGGTTCCTATGAACCTTGCTCGTCAGTTGCGCTTTCATATCCATTGCACATGATGAGCAGCATTTCATCTGGAGAGGAACGTTCGATCGCAAGTGAACAGCATTTAAAAATCCAGCATATCCATGGGATTTTAGGTTATCAATTTCAGTCTTTTATCCTATTATGGGGCTCCATTAGGTATGTAAAATGTATTGCTAGTTTGAATGACCATTGCATGGAGAGCTCCCGTTCATAATACAATTAGACCCAGGTGTACTTTTGTATTTTCCCAAACATGCAGAGCAACGCATTTCAGCCTACAAGGTGAACTCAGCAATCCAATTTCGGGTTAAAATGGGCACCATGGGTGTATGAACCTAAGCGCAAAAGTCCGCTGTTTAAACTATAGTATAGGCGTGTAGATCGCCGGGTCTGTATAGTAAACTGAGGGCAATACTGCCCTGGGTTCTGCAATTCAACTGGCCAGTTCTCCATCCGGCGACCAATTAAGTGATGAAAAGAATACGACACATCCCTAAATATAGATGAAATAAAAAATATTCTGCGTACCTCACGAGACGTGCTGAGAAGCGTTGGATACGGCCAGAAAGCAGAACGAAAGAAACATAGAGTGAGCAGAAGGTAGTGACAAATTGTCGACCTTAGGTCTCTCCACACTTCTGGAGTGATTGTTGCAGTAGGATGAGCAAATTCAGCTTCAACCCAAGGCTACCAATCCCAATCATTCCGGTCATTGAATTCCATCGTCCTAGATTTTATTCCACCCTACGTAGTAGAAGTGGTGAAATGTATTGACTGTGGATTAAGTTCAGCTCAATAGCATTTGAATCATCTTGTCTGGGCAGATCATTTGAGATCAACTCCAGCTTCTCTATCCTCATGATATTTCCAGGGCCTAGACCTGCGGGCACAATCTCCTGCTTGCACACTTGGCTTTCAAAGTTGATCACTGATTTCATATTTTCTGAATTGGCCTGTCGCATTGATAGCCCTGGTACATATTCAACCAGAGTTAGTCAAACAGTCCCACATTTCATCAGACCCTTTAATAGGAATTCAATGAATATTATCTATAGATGGTATTAGTTTGCCCTGTGGCTTAGAGATAACATCTTGCACAGAGGTCTCATGGGTATAGTACTTGTCCACACGAAGAAAAGGGTTAAGGTTATCCTTGTTCATCATCAAAATAAAGAGGGTCGCGTATCTTGATCTGATCACCAAGGTCCTATTCAAGTAAAGGATAGAAGGGATTAGGCCTAGCTTCAAGAATCCTAGTAGTATGACACTTGAGTATTGTAGCCATCTCCAACCCTGAATAGATCAATCAAGGATCTTCAAGTGGACATTGTAAGATCCCATGCTCCCTCGTAAATTCGTAATGAAGGATGTACCATCACTTAACTAAATGCAATTGTTTTCCTTTCCTTTCTATCCTGACAGCTGCAGCAGCACATGTAGAGGATGGAGGGATGAGGGATCGAACAGTGAACATCCAGCCCTTAACACAGGGGAGTAAGAGGCTTTGGCAAGTCAGTAGATGGAGGATCCAAATGGACGCGAGTTGTTGGATGAGGATCAATGCCAAGCCAGACCTGACATTTACGGCTAGCGTTGCCGCGTGCCAAGCCTTGCCCGTAAAGTTTATGCGGCTCCAAAAAAAAGTCGATTTCGGTCTTCGAGATAACTACGCTAGATGTTGCCGGTTTGTTGTTCAGCACGGCACTCTTTTCGGTGCCTTTTTTGAGGATGCTGCCATCTCCAGTGCGGTTGAGAACTTCTCTATCTGCCACTAGATATGGACAAAGATTGCAGACTTGTGCTCACCTTCGGTCATTACACAACCCAGCGCTTGGGTCAAGCGCAACATGGATAAGCTCCTCCTCAAATACCGGCGCTGAACGATCATATAACCCACCGTATGCTCCCCGGTCGTATCATCGGGGTTTTCACTACACCAAATATGTATGCGGCGTGTCACTCATCTCTACTGAAAGCAAAGTTTTGCTAATTTCTTTTCCTTGTCAGGTTTCTTCCCCCGCTTCAAGCACCGACCGAGAATCATTGCTCAAAACCGAGCTATCGCAAGCCGAATTACAAGGAAATGGCGATATATACGATTACCTCCGCAAATGGCAACAGATGAATCAGCCCTTGATTAATGAAATGGACCCGATCCAGTTACCTGGGGACTCCAACACTGGAACCGCGCTTAAAGGGGACATGTTGAAGGACGGACTGGCGAACCAGGAAGATAATATCGATTTATTCGACACGGATGAATACCGCCACTCTATTGACGAGGATGCAGGCTCACGGTTTCTCCAACCCGGAGACATGGTTGTACTGAAATCGTAAGTCTCTCACCATGCTCTCCATAGGAATGGTGCTCACACGAACTAGGGAATCGAGTTTTGCAGACGGTCAGTTGGCCATATACATGCGGTCATTGGAAATGCAGCACCAGTTTTATACAATGAGAGGCAAATG